CAAAATTTGGTCAACCAACAATACTTGTTGAAGAGCTTCTTTTGCTTCCCTTGCTCTAGCCCTTATCGTAGGTCATGTTCACATTAGAACACCTTTACCTTTAGTGTTCAGTTGCACAATAGTTATGACACTGATTTTGTGAGGTTTTTGGATTACCAAATTTGTCTCCTTCTGATGGAATTTGTTGCTTTGCTTTTCAAGAAATATAACACACAAATTAAAGACATCCTTATTGTTGCAATCATCAACATCTTTTGGGTTTAAAGGAACATGGTAAATGATTGTAGTTTCAATGTTCCTTTATCATTGATAAGTGTTTTGGCATTATTAAAGTGAATGTGGCTATCATTAGAATGTTTTCTAAGGGTGTTATGTGTAACCAAATCAAGGATTTGTCATTCTTAATCACTTTTTTGTTATAGGTTATACTATTACAACACATAAAATTTTGCAAGTCATGTCAAAGACGTTTAATGTTATTAAATTTTATATCGGTGGTATTACTAAAGGTTCTCCTAGTCTTGTTGGTAGTGGTGGAATTTTGTGGGGAAGGGGGAGAGTATTTGGGTGGTTTCAATGTAATTCTTGGTATAAGATTTGCAATTTTTTCTAAGTTTGTTAGTGTTATGTGTTGTATTGAAAATGTTTTTAACCAAAGATAAATTTGACTTTGAATTAAGATAAATTTTAGATTGGTAGTATTTACTTTCAAGAATCATTCTTTAATATCTTAAACTATTAGAGGTAGATGCTCAAAGTAATGGATCTTTGCTAAAGAATGTAAATCTATATTTCAAATATAAAAGATAACAAGTGTATTGTTATATGGGCTAACTTAGATTTTTCTTTTGTTTTCTTTTTTTTTTTCATAAATAGGAGTCTTATATAATTTAATGTCTCCATACATTAATTTGCTCATGAGTACTGGGATATATATATATAACCATAATTTTTTTTTAGTCATTCTCATCTTTTAAAATGGAACCATTTTAAAAAAAACACCAATAATATATTTTTCTTTATGAGTTTTGTACCATCAGGTTTCTCTTATACATTGATTAACGATTAAATTATTTATCAGTGTCTCTAAAACTAAAAATCTTGGTTTAAGACCAATTTTAGGAGTTAATTTCATAATTGAACAATTACATAACTTGACTTAGGAATGACTCCTGCTAAAATAATGTACATGTGATTCCTTCACAAACCCAAGATTTATACACAATGTTTAAGTTGACCTACAAATAAATTAATAAGATATCTTTTTGTTCAATTTTTTTATATGATAAAATAGAAAATTACTATATTTTTTAATAAGTTTCTTCTATCTTACCTAATTCTTTTTCATACATATCCATTTTACAATAAAAATATATAAAGTTTTCTATAAAATTAATTCAAATTTCTTCATTGTGAATGAGATAATTCATTTTTATTATATTGAAAAAATTAATTAAAAATTTTAATGGAAGGACGAGTTCCTATAAGAAGTACGAAGTCAATTTTTTTTTTTCAACGTGCAAGAAATGAACACCTAAGACACGTTGGTTTACTATTTTTAAAAAAATTTTAAATTTTTTTAATGTTTAAAAACTATTTTTTTTATAATAATTATATTAAATTATTTATTTTTATCACTATCTAATATGGGCCCGCCATTGTAAAAAATTTCTGCAAAAAACAACGGAAAGGTATTCTGTTAAGGTTTTCTTAAATTTATGATATAAAATTATACCTAAAAATATTATATAAAAATGATTTTCATATTATTTTAATTATATTTTTAGTTCTTTAAATTTTAAATGATGTTGATTTTGGTTCTAAAATTTTAAAAAAAATTAATCTCTAGAAACTAAAAATAATAATTTTAATTCTAAAACATCAAATTTAAGAATTTAAAACTAGTTTTAAATCGTAAATCTTAAAAACTTCCTTGAATTTTATATTTATGATTATTAAAAAACTAACAAAAAATAAATTTGAGAGGCAAAAATCAGAATTATTCTGAATTTCAAATAAATTGTGGAAGAGTTACTAATGATTACAAATAAATCTTTTGCGGATAAAAAGTAGTTATATTTATTTACATGGCTATATGATATTTTACTTTGTTCAACCACTTTTATGTAATTATTTATATTAATGTTATTCAATATTCATTTTATTCATAATATAATAAATTTTTGCCCTTGTTTCTTTTTTCTTGTTCTATCCTTGCTCTTAGGTGGGCTAAGGTATATAGTTTTCTTGTTCGGTCCATGCAGGCCCAGTTTTCTTTGCTTTGGGCCTAGTCCTCTTTCTTTCGGCCCTATAGCAATTCTTCCTGCATCTCATATTAATTAAATAAAATAAAATTATCTTTGTTATGAACAATTTAGATTTACTTTTCTATAAAATTTTTGAAATCATTTTTTCGAAAGTTTCTGAAAAAGGGGACATAAAATAATAATATTTTTTTTTAGTTCTGGATTAAACGATTCATATAAAAAATTATATTTTTTTGAAATTCTAAAATGATAAATTTAAAAATATTATTAACAATTCAAGGTAAAATTTTTAAAATATATAAAATTTTATATTTTAAAATAATATTTTTATCTGTATACAATCTTGCTGCCACAGAAAAGGGGATTTTTTTTCTTTTCAAAGATTCGTTGACTTTTCATGTTCAGCAATGATAGTGGATAAAGAGAGAATTATATATTATATTCTATTATATTAATATAATTATGATGAGAACCATGCAATTTATCTTAAATTTATTTTGAAATTTTATATCCGCATCCTCCCATTTTTATTATTTAATTTTAATATTTTATGAGTATAAAAATAATTTTTTGACTAACAATAATATTAATATATGATTATATCATGCATTGTAAAACCTTTATCCAATCCTTATATTCTACAATAAAGTTTTATTACTTTTTCTACTAATGTTCTGTAGTATAAAGAAATAAAACTTGAGAACCTTGTATTATGAAGTATATGGTTAAATTTATTAATTTATTGCTATATATAAGTATTATTTTAATATATATGTAAATAAGAATTAAATAAAAACGTGAATATTGCTTTATTTTAATTCCAACCAAGTTTTCGTTATTTTTTTAATAACTGAGATGAAGGTGATAAAATATTTGATCTTTTAAACAAACACAACACAGTGACTTTATTTATCTGTACTTACTACACGTGTAGGTGGAGTCCCTCACTCTCTTCCCTTCTGTGCGCTCCTCATCGAATCTTGTCCCACCCTTTTCTCTCTCTCTCTCCATTTTCTCTGCACTGCAACCTTCACCTATTTTTCCCCAAATTGTACGCACCAAACTCACGTATAGTTACGAGGTTAGTTCTTCAATTCAATTTTTGTTATTCCATCTATCTTTTCTTCTTCTTTTTTTGTCCTTGGGTTTACTTGTGGGACTTGTTGATTTAACTGATTCCCTTTTGTGAATTCTTCTCAATTTGAATACTTTTTGCTCAGATCCCGTTGTGATGGCCTGTGGTTGGTGCTTGTGTGATGTTATGGTTGTGGGTCGGTGGTTTCATTGCCTGTTTAATGATTTGGGTCGTGGCAGTTGTATTTTGTGTATGTCCAAGTCCTCGAGATGTAAATCAAGTGGTCATTTTGAAAACTTGTTTTGGGGTTTGTGTTGTGTTTTTCGGATGTGGGGCTTTTAGGAATGAGAATTTGTAGATATGTGAATCAAGAGTTGGGGTGTGGAGCAAGTAAAAGTGTGGAAATCATGGTAGTGTGACATGATTCGCAAATAACTTTGTTCCTTGAGCATGTGTTAAGAAATGTTCCTCCCTTGAATGGATCTCAATACATCAAAAGATTAATCCTTGCCTTTTGACTCAAGGATACCCTGTGTTCAACCCCCCAAAAATGAAAGGTTTGAGAAGAAGAAAAAAGTAGCATAATAAAGGCTAAAATAAATTGAGGGCATGTTGGTTTTTTTACGCTTAAAAGCAAGAATTATGGAGTAATTGATGTTGTTTTTCATGTAGTGGTAGAAAAGTAAAGGTATTCCTTATATTTATTTTTTAATAGATATATGAGTATATGACTGATTTCCCGGCCTGCTTCAGTGGTGCGTTTTTTATTTTATTTTAATGTTTTGCATGAACTACGAGTAGCCTACAAACTTGGACATCAATCATTAAACAAATTTTTGGCTCATCAACCTTTGATCTTGACCCCTTTTCAGAAACCTTTGAGAATTATTAACCATTTGGTTGCCACTTTTCTTTCAACTTCCTCCTCTTGCTCATGACATCCTTTTAACTGTTCCAACCTCTTTGAATGCGACCTATATATTTCTGCATTGGAGGTTTTCCATTGTTTAACATAGAAAGTATCTGAATTCTCCCTGTGGATGAGCTGCGTAAGAGGAAAATTGTGCTGAAAGTTCTTCTAATTGTGAAAACCTGGCCTTGTGAAGAAATAGCATGACATATTCTATATTCTAAGTCCATGATTTTTCATCCTGTATTGACGGTCTTCTACTTTGAGGCAGTGGAAGGTGAGGGTGATGGGTTTGGAAAAGATTGTCTTTACTTGAAAAATTTCTATATATTTTACTTAGATCCAGACATGAGGGCCCCGAGTGTGCCCTTTGACATCATCCAATATGTGATCCTGATAGAAAAAAAAGCATTGTGATGTTGATAATCATCATATTTGATGCTTCATTTTCTTTAATGGTGTGAGAAATATGCTGAGAAGATCAAATACTTCTTACTCATAATGTGCATTCTTTTGAGAATGAAGTGTGAAATCTTTTATCGTTGCTAATAGAAATTAAAAACACACGCACCAAACTCATGCTATTAGTGGGGTTGGTTATCTTATCTGCTTTATGAGAATGTTCTTAAGGCTATATCTTAGGGTTTAAATGTCATAGACTCATGCTTGCTTTAAATGGAGGACATATAGGTATTAAGTAGTGACATTGGTGAAAAAACATGATGGTTTTTGCAATAATCACAGTGGTATGCTTCTAAGATTAGTGTCTGAGGTGTGTTGCTTGGTCTGTTTTCACTTAGGATTAGGTGTCCAATACCTAACCAAGTTCACAATTTGCTCATAGGAAAGGGGTGAATTTCAGTGTAAAGAAACTTCAGCATATGCTGCTTCTTTAGTGTCTGATATTCAGTATAGCTTAAATCATTCAAAATAGAGGGTTCAAAGTTGTGCTAATTACGATATCTTTCTTCCCTAATGCTATATCCCATAATTAGTTTGATGTGAGAATCAATGACTAGTAAAAAAATTATTGTCTTTTGTTTCATTCAAATCTCACTTCTGACACAGCTTGTGCTGAAGGTCTCAAGAGTCACAATGAGTCTGGCATGTCTTGTGTGCCATAGTGTGGATAGTCCATCACCATCACACTCTTTCAGGAGTTACTCTGTTTCAAGTGCAGAAAATGAAGGAAGATGCCATGCTGTTACAACCTGCTTAACCAGGAAATTATCTCTTCCACCCTCTGCAGTACACACTTTTCTTGCACCAACATCATCATCCAAAGTGACTCCACAACCTATTGATTCAAATAACAACTTGATACCAGGTACGCCGCGGCTTGTTCGGAGCCGAGCCGTGACGAGGGACCGAGTAAGAAATTGGAATTTTGATGAAATTGTGACGGAGTCCTAGTCAAAACTATAAGATAGAATAAGACTAGGGAATTTTCTGGTGGGATAGTTTATAGCATGGCATTGCTATTTTGCCCCTTTAAATTTTGTTATGGGTGCAATTTATCTCTTTCTCTAGTTTTCTTGTAAAAGAGTCTGAACATTTGTAGCCATGAAAATATTCTACGGTGTGATTCTTCTTCATTTGGCATTTTCTGTCTTAAAATCAATTCACACCAAGCAATCAAATTGATATCAAGGGAAGTTGTTCAACCGTATTCTAAGAATTGGGTAGATGATTTGCAATTTTCCAACGTTTTCCTTTTGATTCTGCACCTGCATAAATGATTGGCTAAGAGTCTATTTGGATGAGTTTCTTCATTAATATTTATAAGAGAGAAAAAAAAACTAAAATATTAATCTATGAAAAAACAATTTTAACCCATGAAGAAGTTAATTTTCTTCATCAACACATTTTTTTTATCTCCTCTAATTTCATATATAATTATTTGAAGAAGAGAGTAGCTAAACTATTACGTAACTTTGAATAAATTTTAACTAATATTAAAGAGTACTACAAAATTAATTATCCAAAATTTTAACCAATAAGTCTTATTTCCCCACTAGTTTACTTTTAAAAAGTCAACTTCGAAATTGAAGATAAACTTGGTGCAATGTCCTGAAGAAAATTGGTGGTTGTTCTGTCCCATTCTCGCGTAAGAAAATAAGAGTGTGTGGACTAGTTGACTAGTTGGCAAATTCCTTGTGGGTTTCTTGAAGTTTGTCTCTTGCCAGTATGCGAAGGAAAATGATGATTTTGTGGGGGCATGCTAGATTTTTGCTTTTTAGGTCTGGCCCCATTTTTCTGCCTAGTTTCAGTTGCGGAATGATAGTGGAATAATTAATCACAAATTATCATACTATTTTAGAAAGAAAGTTATAAATAAAAAGATAATTATAATTCACTTTTTTATAATATAAAACACATTCAATTATATACCATATTATTAGTCGGATGTTATATAAAAAATAAAAACTTTGACAGAAATCAAACGTGAAAGTTCACATGGGTTAAGAAATTCATAAATATAACATCATACTGTAACAAAAATAGCAAGAGAATTTTAAATTATTTTAATAGCGACACCCACCCACCAACACTATCGTTTTTTTCTAGGTAAGTTGGACCCTTATCATATATATCAATGAATTTACTTTTCTCCGAGTAGGATGATTTTGTCAAGGAAAATGGGAGATGTTCTTCTTTATGTTCATAGACAAAGATTACTACTTAATGTAACTTTTTCTATAATTTTTTTATGATAATTAATCTTTATCAAGATCGTGGTTTTAAAAATGAACTAATTATTCAATCGGCTAAAATTTGATTTTAAAATTTATTTGTGATTGAATGGTAGTTGAACTAATTTTAATAAATAATAATTAAATAATATATAAATTATTATTAAAATAAATATAACTTTATAATACCAAAAGTTAAAATTAAAGATCATTATTTTAATTGAGGGTGGTAGTTCTAATAATATTTTGCATTCTTTGCGAAATTTGGGAAACTTCTGGTCAATAAGTTTTATTGTTTAAAGTAACAGTGGATAATAGTAATTATATTACAACAGAAGAGGTGATGCAGAAATTAGTCATGCATGCATGTATTTCACTTTCCAATTTATTTTTTCCCATTTTTGGAGCAGATCTTATTTTGAGAGTCAATTGGTTGAAAACGCTTGGACTATATGTTGCTGATTATGCCTCTTTAAATTTGAAATTTTTGCGTCATGACAAATTTATTACATTGAAAGGGTGATTTGGATAATAGTGCGGTGCATGCTCATTTACATCACATTAAGCATATGGTCCACATTCATTCTATTGCTTAAGTTTATACTATATAGATAGTTGATATCAAGGTCAATGATAGTCCTTTATTTGAGTGCCTGCTGATATGAATAAGGAATTGACTTTCTTATTGCATAATTATATTGTTGTTTTTGCTACTTCAAGTTCCTTGTCTCCTCACCATGCACAAGATCATTTTATTCCATTGATTGAAGGCTCCAATCATGTTAAAGTTAAACCATATCATTATCCGCATAGTCAAAAAGAGGAAATCGAGAAGGTAGTTACTGATATGCTTAAAAGAGGCACTATTCAACCAAGCAAGAGTCATTTTTCTTCACCTATACTCCTTGTGAAAAAGAAGGATCACTAGTGCAAAAAGGGGCTTTTACGTCAGGTATTTAGGGCTTTTTACGTCGTATTTAAGACTGACGTTACAACGGGAGACGTAAATTTACGTCGGACCCTTTAGCCCGACGTAAATTTACGTCAGTTATCAAGACCCGACGTAATTTTGCGTTGCATATACCATTAAACAGACGTAAAAACTTTTAGAAATTAAAAAAAAACAGCAAATTTACGTCGCATATGGTATATGCGACGTAAATTTGTCGTTTTTTTTAAATTGGGTTGATTCTGTTTTACAACTAAAACTCGCAAATAACCGAGACAGATCCGGAGATTCAATTTTCTTTAGCTAGTAAATTAAAAATATAATATTATATAATTCAAACTACATAATAAAACAATATAATACAAACTAAAAAATCTATTACAAACTAAAAGTTAATACAAACTAAGCTACCTAAACTACATATTACACACAATATAATATGAACAAGAGCTTAAAAAATTATGTACTAGAATTGTTGAACAAAAAATTTTGCCCATTGTTCTCTAATTTGTGTAATATCAGATTCTGATAATGGAGATGGATCTTGAAATACCTGAAACATTAATTTGACTCTTGTAAATGTGCAACATGAATAAAGTTAAATAAACCTAACTAATGTTAAAAGCAATTACCTCCGTCTAAGAATCAATTATACCCGCACAAACTATGGCTCTCATCCAATACATAACATAGTAACCACATTCAAACGAGTCTGTTTGCTTATTACATCGAAATGATGAAAAAAACATAATGTTATTTTCAAAATTTAAATACAAACAATAATTATGGTATTCACTTATATAAATAAGTTTCTAACCTTAGGATAAATGAACTGCAAAGTCTTTGTTCTAGGTTTTCCACTTAGAACATTAGTTCCGGACACGATTCTAAGTGAAAAATGTCATATATTATTCAATATGTATTTACAATTTAAAAACATAATTAATGAATAAAAGATAAAGTTACCCTTGTAATAAGCTTTTCATTTCTTGACTTGGTTTCCGATGCAATGAACAAAACCACACGACGAGTGTAATCCCGGGTATGATTACAATTAACTGCCAATGGGACCTACATTGTATGACATAAAAATTAGTTACAAAAATATAAATTAAAATACAAATTAAAATACTAACCCTTCAATGTATGGAGCAAAATATATATGTCTTTTTGAGTCACTCATCCATGTTTGCATATATTGTTGGATTCCAACCTTTGTATTACCAGATTTTTGGATGGATTGAGGCTCAATAAATCCGTATACTTCGGATTTTTCTTGTTCCACATTCAACTTGTCAATGTACCTAAAACAATTAATTATAAGTTGAATATAATTATTATAATCTTAGAAACATAAATGAGAATGACTTACATTGCCCACAATTGTATGATGGAAATGTTTAACATGCAATTTCCCCGAGCAATTTCTAAAGCATCGGGCAAGGAAATGTATAATGGAACACTTGGAATTGTCAATTCCAAACACTCTAACATCCCATATGTATCTGACACGGTCTCTTCCTCAACCGTGGTAATATGGTCAACAACATAGAGATGGGATCATCATCACATTCGTCAAATCCTCATCAATAATAGGTTGTTTTTTATGCTTAGCACGACGCAAGTCCTCCTAAACAAATGATAACAATTAATTAAACATTTATATAATTATAATACTAGAAAAGAGAAAATAGACAATATATATATATATATATATATATATATATATATATATATATTACCTTGGTATGTGCTTGATAGTGGTATAACCAAACGTCTTGGCCAAGCCAAGAATGTCCCGCTTGCCTGCCCCACTAATTGAATCTCTTCATTAGGAAAAGGCACTGAAGCATTAACATCATGAACTTCATCAACTACTACTCGTGTCCAGTCTGCCTGTAGAGGGACTCCATGGATGGTTAAACCACCCTAAAAAACTCGACCAATAGCCACGAGACGTGGGGGGTCATCTTCAACATATAACTCACACTAGTGTGATGCATCAATCTGAGTATATTCTCCTGAAGGATCAGCAACAGTAGCAACACAACTCCCTTTAGTGCTGACTCGAACAACATCATGTTCAATTGTTTGAGGTGTTCCTTGAGTCTATTCTGTCGAGAGCGGGCGAGAGATTCAATTTTCTCATCAAACTCTTGTTGCAAGGATTGCCTTATTTGATTTAACTTTTCTTCAAACTGCATCTCCATTTTATGCAAGGCCTCCTGGCTGCAAGAGTCGGTAGTGGTCCTTCGTGATGTTGGACCAAAGTAATCACGAAGGCCCCAGGATCCACCAGCACCACGCACACGTCCTGAGTAATCTGGTTTTCCTATGGTTGTCGCCAATATATCTTGTCGACCATGAGGAATAAATGATCCTTGGGTGCTCTGCTCAACTAAATCATCCTACAACACATTAACAATAATTAAGTCATACACTAACTTTCACATTAGAATCAATTCAAATTGACATTATAACTTACGATTTTACGAGCAATGATTCATGCGGACTCGAAGTCATTTGTCCATCGGATTTTGTCAGGCTGCCTTCCACATCTCATAGCGAGGGGTGGAGATGCATGGTCGATAGACTCAACTCCTGCTGACTCTTCTCTGGCTTTCATGAGACGTTGCTCCAATAATGCATACCTTCCTCGTGACAATACATGGGGTGCATCATTCAACCTCGACGTTGTTGGGCGACACGTCTTTTATCCTGCCAAGAGGGGTCCATTCGGCTGGCACAAAATTGTAACCAATCCTCCTCAC